AAATAGTTAACAAATCAATTTCAAGCTTATTTTAGTAACTAATACTCTTTTGTATAGTTCTAAATTTAATCACAAATCATACATGTATAAAAGAAATCTTATATATACCAGAGTAATATTGATTCAACATTTAAAAATAAATAACTCTATTGAGAATACACAAAAAAATTAATATTATCGAAAAAATATGTTGCAATGCGTAAGCTATTGTTTTTCAAAAATAGGCTTCACAATCAATATTTGGTATACTAAATAAAAATCTGTTAATATTTAATAATGCCCCAAAAAAATAAAAAAAAAAAAAAAAATTATTGATTTTTCAAAATCATTAAAGCTTTTTTTGCTAAATAATCAAATCTATATATTACTATTTATTATTAAAAAAAATTTAAGTTATTGATTCAAACATATATATCATTAGTTTTATTAAAAGATTTGTCATTATTTATACAGAAAAAGTTATCTAGAATAGCTTTCAATGATGATACAAAATATAAATTCATAGAAACCATTGAATATACATTTTATAGAATTAAATCAATTATCATATTACATATTCTCGACAGAGCTATCTGTTTTTGAGAATTAGATCAATATTAGTTTGGTATATATAAGATTTTCTTCATGCATGCATTATTTGTAATTTGATTAAAAAATGCAAGAGACCATTAGTTATTAAAATAAACATGGAGTTGATATGTTAATTATATCATATAGTAATTATTTAAAGAATACGATCAGCTATATAAAAAATAATAAAGTTGAGGATAATTACTGTATATACTAATTAATTTAAGAATAAAGTTCTCGAATATAGGCCCTAGCTATTAAAATACAATTTTAAGTTTTATACTATTTATCTATAAAATTTGTAAAATTCTTTATTTTTTAAAACTTGTAATTTAAAAAGTTACAATTCCAAAGATTTGGTTTTTTTTGATCAAATAATTACAAGATATTGTATATACAAAAAAACATTAATATTTTTAATTATTTTGGTTCAAACTTTAAGTAAATTTATTTAATAATTTCTGGTTGTTTTCAATATTTAAGACTATTTTCAAATCCTATAGATAGTAAAATTCAAGAATAGTTATGAATATTGAAGGTGATTAGCTATTATTATGAAATTAAAGTTTAAAAAATATTCAATACTATATAAGCAGAATTTGCACAGACTGGTCTAATAGATTAGTTGTAACCAACTAAAAAATAATTAACTAACTAATCGATTAAAAAAATTTTAGCAATTTGTAATACTAGTAGTATGATAGGCAATTATAGTATTAACCATTTTATATAAATTAAAAGCAATTGTTGATATCTTAGTAAGATTAATTGAACAGCATAAGGAGCATTAGTTTCTAAGTGATAGATGGAATGAAGACCTCAATCATATATGATTTGCTATATTAATAATCTGCAGAATAGCTCTTATCTTATATAGAATTTTTAGACATAATTGTGTAGTATTAGCCAATCACAAGTATATATTTTAATAAATTTTTAATTCTTAGCAGTGTTATAAATTCAGAAAAGTTTATTAGTAAAAATACAAAAAAAAATATGCATAAAAAAATTTATAAGTACTTTATATATATGTAGAGCACTAATAATATACAAAATTAAATCTATGCATGCTGTGCTATTACTGGATGTATAATGCATAAAATTTGATTTGAAAAGCATGATAATCAGGAATTATATTACAAATATTGATTATATTTGACATTTTTCAAAAAAAAGAAAAAAGTATAAAATTTATTTATTTGTAAGTATATACAAAATAAAAAATTTTTTAAATTTGATTTATGAAAACCAAAAAAATTAAATTTGTATACTTAATAGTGAAAATAAAAGTTAGAAAAATCTATTCAAGTATAGTTGGTTGATTGTTATTAATATTATTTTGAAGCTCTGTTTTAGGATTTTTAATTTGAGCTATGGCTTGAAAAAATTATTAGTAAGAGAGTTATCAGTTTGAGATGTAGAATTATTATTCTGAAGGTTAGTCTTTTTTGCTTTTGAGGAAGAAGAGGGTAGCAAGTTTGGTCTTTGTCTTTTTCTAGAGAAGGAAGAATTTAATTTGGTGTATTTTTCTTTAATACTTTTGAAATAGTTGTTAAGATCATTTTGAGCTTTTGGTTTTCCTTTATTTGAGTTATTAGAGGTTTGTTCATGACCAGCATAGTTCTATTCGATATTTGAGGCTATAATATGAAACATTTTTTTTGCACTAATTTTTAATATTCTAATAATAGAAAGAACTGTTTTTTAGATGATTCTTCAGCATATTGTATCGGCTGTTTTGGTTGGTATAAGATACAATTACTTCTGATTCTATATTTTTGTATTCAGTAACACTATTGTATAATTTTTTTGTAAGCATAAAGCTTTCTCTACCAAACTCATTATTGAAAAAGTATAAATTAGGAATGATAGAAACAGAAAATAGTAACAATGGAGACATATAAAGTAAGTCATCTGAAGTGACTTCGATTTCATAGTTGGAGGTAGAAATTGGTATTGTTTGTACTAAAGAGAGCTGGTATTAAAAAAAAAATTAACATATTACAATTATCATCACGAAGTTAAACTAAGCACAACCTTATATTCAACAAATAGAAATATTAAATAAGTATTAAATACTTAATGAATATTAAATTTTATATTTTCTGAAAATAAGGATCCAAACTGGATTCTTGCTTAGTTAATAGATTAACCCCATAGGCGCAGAAGGTTTAAATAGATAACTCCTAGTCGGGTTGCAGGTATGACATCTAGTATAGAACTTAGTAATAAGTGGACTACTTAAATAAGCAATTAAAAGTTGTATATGTGGCTAGTAT